AAAAATGCTTTCATAAAAGTACTTTTATAAAAGTGCTTTCATAAAAATACTTTCATAAAAGTAATTTCATAAAAATGCTTTCATAAAAGTGCTTTTGTAAAAGTGCTTTCATAAAAATGCTTGCTTTTATAAAAGTATTTTTGTAAAAGTGCTTTCATAAAAATGTTTTTATAAAAGTGCTTTCATAAAAGTACTTTTGTAAAATTCAACTAGGGATAATTTTATTAGCGATATTTTAAAATTCAACTAGGGATAATTTTGGAAGAAAAAAGTTGAATAAGTGCTTATTGTATAAGAAATTAAAAAAAAAGCTGGAATTTTGAATTTAAAAATAAACACTTATTTCGGGCTTATTTCCCAAATACCAATAAGTGTTTAATAGCTCAAATTAACACTTATTTTTAAGCACTCCCAAACATGACCTAAAAATTATGCTAAGTAAGCCAGATTTTGTGAAGTAGACATAATGGTACATGACCACAACTTATAGACATAAGTTTGTTATTGAACAAGCAATAGCTAGCTAAGCCAGATTATGTGAAGTAAACAAATGATGATTATAATCTTCTACATCATATGGAATACTACTTACTGTTGCATCATAAATGATGGGAAGAAGCATCAGCCTATGCTCCATACGGTAGCTGACTCACCAATGTATCAAAAGTTCTTTATCGAATAAATGCATGGTTTTTAAAACCAGACCGGACCAGATAGTCAGACCGAAAAAACCAGGAACTGATCAGGTAACCGATTCCGTTTTACCCTAAAACCATTATTTCACAAAAAACCGTTGATTCGAACATTCAAATTATTCGAACCATCTAACAGTTTTGACCATTTTATTTTTTGTCAAAACAGACTGTCCATTCGATTCAGACAGTCGGAGGACTGTTCGACCCAACCAGACCCCTAACCAGTTCGTCAGTTTTAAAAACTCTGAATAAATGAACGAAGACCAATGATAACCGAATAACTGTGCATGCCTATCATACCGGTGTCAAACACAATTTGTACTTCATTATGACATTGGATGCTGCATGGATACTTCTACATATACTCTAGCATTAACACTTCTAATATGTGAAATGTTATGTTTTAATAAATCAATACTAGGAAAAATATCTTTTGTATGTTAGAAACTAAATTAAATTTTACAAAAATCTTTATATGTTAGAAACTAGATTAAATTGGGCAAGAAATAATTCTTGACAAATGATACTTCAAAATCTAAAATCTAGATATAGAAAGTCACATCCCCATTTCTGTGACATACCAGTATCTATATCCGGGTACCATGGATGATGATAAAGGATGCAACATGACCACATCCCCTGCTTTTAATTAGATGTAACATATAACTACTCCAAGTTCTAAAATATAACATCAGATCAAGATTCAGCTAACGACATTATGAACATTTATGATATAAATTTCAAACATCAAATTTCCAACAGGGTAAACTCACACATATAAAAAGATGTAAAATTAGGAGAATCAATGGTTTACAATATGAAATGAGAGGACTATTGAAATGCATATATAGAAGTGACCCAATTTTTTCAAGATGAAAAACAGAAATCCCTCTCTATGTAATAATGAATACTTGGGAGGAGTTATGGGCCAAATAATTCTCAGTTTGTGACCTTGCTTTATTGGGACAGCTTTGACAAGAATCTGAATGCCATAAAATGAAATACAATCAAGAATGAAACGGACAAGTTAAAATATTGAACTAGTATTTCCATGGGTAACAATACCCCAGCAGATGGACAAATACCAACATATAAAGTTATAAACTTGTCTATATTTAAGCATATTTCTTTGTAACGGTTTACTTGTTATTTTGGCTGCAGGTGGATTCCCCTTTGAATGTGTAAAGATTATTCACTTCCATGCTGAATTGGCCAACAAAAAGGGCGAAGATTATGTGGAGATGTATTAAGGCTTCCGTTTATTGGACTGTTTGGGAGGAGAGAAATTCACGAATCTTTTTAGAAAATGAAAGAAGCTTGGAAGTAATATTGGAGGTCATCCATATTATGGTGATACATTGGTTGAAAACTTTAGCATTGTTTGCAGAATTCTCAGTTGATGAGTTGCTAAGAAACTAGAAGATCACAGAATTACCTTCAGCTAAGAAGGCCTCAATCTCTTGTTGGATTCCTCTACCTCATGGCTTTACTAAACTGAATTTTGATGGCAGCAGCATGAATAATCTAGGGCCATCCGGAATAGGGGGAGCAATAAGAGATGAACAAGGGAATCTGTTAGCTATGTTTTCTGGACCAATAGGGGTGGGACATTCATTGAGGGCTGAGATACTTGCAGCTCTTGAAGGCGTACAAAGGGTCAAAGATATGCATATTAATAAGTTGATCATAGAAGGAGATTCTGAATTTGTGATGAACTGGCTAAAAGAGGATAGCTCTAGGCTCTAGAATTACACCAATGAAAAGAGAAAGTTTAAGTGGCTAACTAAGGACATTGAAATTCAATGCACATGGGTAAAGAGAAGTACAAACTCATTGGCAGATGGTCTAGCTAGGGGTGTCCACGGTTCGGTTAACCGAACCATGGCCCCTTTTTGTAAATCGAACCGGTGGTACTGGTTTTTTCATTTTGACAAACCAAAACCAAACCGGTACCAACGGTTAACCGGTTCGTCGGTTTCGGTTTTTGACCGATTCGATTCTTCAATTTCTCGATTCGTTATATTTATAATATATATTATATAAATATATGTATAATATTATATTATAAATAATAAATGATATATAATATATTATAAATATTTTAAAAGTATATAATATATTTGTAAATAGATCATTATAAATATAATATAAGTATATATTTATATATAATGAATATATATTTATATAAAATACATAGAACATATGTGACATATGTTAAAAATATATATAAAATATACATATAAATATATATACCAGTCGGTTCGGTTAACCGCATTTTGTGGTTCGGTTTCTCAGTTCGGTTCGGTTTTTCATGGACATCCTTAGGTCTAGCTAGGCAAGGGGTGAACATAAACTCAATATTTTGGGTTGTATTATAATTGTTTTTTTGGTGTTCAGTGGTTGTACTCGGGAGTTAAGATCAAGGTTCTTAAAACCAGACCAGACCGGACGGTCAGACCACAAAAAACCGAGAACCGATCAGGTGACCGGTTCCTTTTCTCACCAAAACCGAATTTTGGACAAAAAAAAACATTGATTTGGTCACCAAACCGCTGACCCGGGTGGTCGAACTATTCAAACCATTCAACAGTTTTGACCATTTTTTATTTATTTTTTTGTCAAAAGGGCTGACTGTTCAATTCAAACGGTCAGACCATTTGACTGAAGAACTAGACCCCTGACCGGTTCGTTCCCCGAGTCGGTTTTAAAAACCTTGGTTAAGATTGTTTAGCTCCCTTACTTTGTAATTTTTCATAATCTTAATTCAATTCACAATTATTGATAAAAAAAATCTAGGAATTCCTAAAGATGTTCAAGTGTGCAAGGCTACCCAGAAAAACTGAAACAGCTGTGGTTGGTATTTCGAATTTCCTGAAACTTGTTTTCCACCAAGCTTTGAATTTTATCAAGAGTCTTGGAATTTTCCATAGTGAAGAAGAATTAATCGGTACAATAAAGAAATAACCATTCGTAGTTGGAAGAAGGCTTATAACAAGTGAAATTGTTGGAGATGCATATAACCCATAGATGTGAAATTGTTATTCTATGCTAATATATAATCCTTCATAAATTGGTATGTAATTATTACACACTATTTTATGCACTTTTTAAGGTTAAATGAGATGCGATGCTGTGTCTATCATAATTTTCATGTAGGAATGTCAAACCAAAGTAGCAGATATACACCATGGTCTCAGTGGACTCCTGAGTCTCATGGAATTCAACAATTTTTGTTGAAGTGGTACTTCACAAGGCCATTCAATGAAATAAGCCGAATACCCATCTAAACAAAAGAGGATGGGATATTGTTAATGCGGGATATCCAAATATGCTGTGATACTTGACTCCATATCGATGTATCCAATACTATCTCCCTGATTTTCAACGTGATGGACAATCAAGGTCTCAAGGAATAACATTTCAATCATCTTCACTCATCACTTCGTAATGTGATTGATCAGTGTAAATTAGAGTTCTCAAGAAACATTTTCCAATTCTTGAATGTATGCCATCATACCCTATGAAGTTACGGTAGTATGTGTTGCAGGTTTTGATCAGCTGTTAAAAGACTTTGTTCTATTCTAAGAAGTAATATGCTCCATACACATATTATGTAAAAGAAAGGACAACCCATTTTAATATATATTTTTTTGACAAGGCAATGTATTTGTAAGGACTGAGATGCAACAGAACCCGTGTACTCCACGAACCTATTTAATTTTAACTATTATATGTAAAGGAACAGAAACTGATTTCTTTGTTTGCTTTCCCTTCTTTCTCAGGATTACATTTATGCAAATTTGTAAGGACTTCTAGCCATAAATCATGTTAAAGGCAACTTAAAACAAACATGAAATGGAAGAAAATATGGAGGATGAATTCAAAACATTCATGGATCAAGTTCCTAAGATAGGTTTTAACTTCCCATAAACCAAAATTCTTCATAGGGTCTTAGTCATTTAACATTTTGAAATCACATAACAAGGGGATTCAAAATACAACAATACCATATAACAATATCCTGAAGCAGAATTTGAGAATTCAAGAAAATTATTAAGAGCCAGTGGTGCTAAATATAATTAATAGTTAGACCCTTTAAAGAAAATTATGTCACAAGAATGATGAAGACATAACATGGCAAAATCACAGGAACCTATTGTGTGATGCAAGTGAAAAGGAAGATGTTTCTTAATTTATTACAACGAATTAATTATATAGTGTTTGAAAGTCAGCAATGCTATAAAGAATTGAGCCAATTTATAAAATAAAAAAAAAAGTAATTTAACGTAATAATGCAACCAGAAAGACTCGCTAAAACCAGCTGATTCCTTGACAACCCATACACTGTCTGAACCAAAATGTGTTTCCCACAAACAAGATGCATCCAAGTCAAAAATAATTTGAAAAATAAGACAAACTTGTGAAGAAAGAACAAAACTTGAACAAGCAATAATTGACTAAACAAAATTTAGATAAAATTGTACCAAGACATCAGATTCCACGTAACATCATCCAACATCCTACAAAGAATTGAAACGGGAAATGGTCGTATTAACTCTGGAATCCGGACATGTAATGCTTCTCATATATAAGGAAGGCTACCCAAGTAGAGTAAATGATAGCAGTGATGGATGGGATTAATCTCATCACTCTATGCATGTTCATAATGATGCAACTTGTACAAGAACACTTTTCCAGCAGCATTTCCCAATGCCATGAAACCCCCACCAGGACTGAAATCCAAACATCGAGGATACTCCAGAACCCGATTTGCAGGGGGCCAATTTGAGAATACAGTGAAAGATGGAATGTGTAATAGCTTTAAGCTGTTCTTCTGCATGTTTGAACAAACAGCCAAGATTTGAGCATCATGATTAAATTTCAAGAAGTCGACTTTGGTGGTTAGATTCTCAACTGTCTTAATTGGTTTTCTCTTGCCACCTAGAAAGTCTTCTCTGTTGTAAATATTCACAATCCCACTATCAGAACCTGCTGCAAACAAACTTCCATCTGGAGATGTACAGAGGGCTGTACCATTTATGCAACCATCATCAACAGCCTTATGGAAACACCTTCTAGTCCTCAAGTCCCAGTGGTAGACATGTCCATCTCCTCCTGAGCTCAATAAATGTTTTCCATCATTAGCAAAAGCCAAAGATCGAGCAGTCCCATTCATCTTCAGTGTTCCAATCAGATCCTTTGTTTTTGATGAAACCAACAAAATGTAGCCTTCATTACCCACAAAAGCAATGGTACTAGAGTCAGGAGAGACCTCAAAAACTTCCAAGCTTTTCTCCTCCCTACCTGTTAAAGGACCTATCTTATCAACCTTTGCTTTCACTAAATCAAAGCTGTAAAAGAACTTTCTTCTTCCCCCTGCAATAACCTGGGATCCATCTGGTAAAAAACAGGCCTTGCGAATGGGACAATCCTCAAGAAAGATGCTCTGTACCTTGGGGTTCCTTTTACCATCAATCTGGAAAAATCTCAGCCTTCGATCTAACCCAGCAGCAAGCAACAACTGCGCATTTCTATGGAATTGGACTGAATTTATTGGACCATTGGAGGGTTCAGTGGCATTTGCATCTACCAGTCTAGAATGTTCAAGAATTCCAGGTAACAACCTTGAACTACTCTTCACAACAAGATCTTCATTTGTCCGAAGGATATCATTATCAGCTTCAATATCCTGGTATTCAGGGACCACCACAGCACCACTCTCTTCATCTGATTCCTCATCTGGACTATATTTACTTGATGATCGGCCAAGTTCAGCCCATTCTGTTCCTGGGTTCAATTTAATGTGCTGTGCCCTCAATCTCGATACATAATCTGAGCCTGAAACTAAGCTTTCATCATCTTCCTTCCTCAACTTCCTCAATCTGTTGACTTTGGATATATCTATTCTAGTTCTTTCCTCCTCTTCGTCCACCCATACAGGTTTCCTCTCCCTCATTTTCTTTTTAGCATCACTCTCTTCTTGAAATTCTGCATCCTCTTCATACACTGACATTACCCCATCTGCAGACCGGTCAGTGAAGAACATGGCAGGACCCCCACCAACCACATCTCTCACCTCTTCCTCATTTTCCTTTCCAAACTCAACTGGAGAGTAGAGAGAACCAAACAAGAAGCTCTCCAACCTCTTCATTTCCTTTTCCTGTTCAATTTCTATTTGCTTTTCCTCTTCCTTGTGCTCTTTCTTTCTCTTCTTAGTCTTTGCTCCAACCAATTTCAATCCTTCTCTAGATTCAGTTTCTTCACTTCCTTCCAGAAGTAGAAACTCATCAATGTTCTCCCTTTTAACCTTGGCCACTTGGTCTTTAGGAAGGACATTTTGAGAAATTAAAGTTTCCATTGTTTGATGCTGGCTACCTCTGCAAAATCAAATACAGAATAACTACATTTACAAATAACAGCTCCAGCTAATGCAAGTTCAGTTTAAATTATCACCTAATAAACGTCACATTAAATTATCAGACAATGAACCACGAGATACTTCCTTTCAATAATCACTAAGCTAAAGCGTACTTCAGGTCAAGCCTCGATGATATAATTATAATCCTCAATGTACCCCAGGCTAATAATAAATATTAAATGTATACCATATCTGTAATTTTACCCAAAATATTCCTAATTTTTTTGGTGAACTTTAAGTTGGATAAATGAAACTTTGTTTCCTCAGTTTGATGTTTGAAAAATAATATTCAGACTACAATGGGCAAAATGCAAAATAAATAGTAAAATTCTATTATTTAAGCACATTAAATTCTTGTTTTATATCTCCTTTTTTTCTCTTTTATGTTTTTTTATAGGAACCGATAACTTTCAATAGCTAAAAAACAGAAAAACTGTCACCTACTAAAGTGTAAGGTGACCCCTCAACAAAATTCAAATTACAACACTGCCCAAAAAACCGATAACTTTTTTTTCTTTTATCCTTCTGGTATTTCTTTTAACAGTAAGCATGGTATCCATACATACATAACATTTTAACAATAGCTTTTTTCAGTAAAGACTCCATGTCTCTTTTCTTGGATTTATAAGACAAGAAAAAACAGATACCCCAGCGAGCATCAGGAAACAGCTCACTTGGGCTGATTTGGAGTCGCATTGGGGGTTCTCAAATCAAACAACCTAGAATTAACCCAATAGGAAACAAACCAACATTGACAAGCAAAATTAAGAAAGAAAAAAAAGGAACTACTTGATATCCAAGATAAGGGTTCTATAAGAATGAGAACCAATCACATAAAACAACTTAAAGACGCAAAGGCAAGTATAATTCAGCTAATCTAAATAAAATTACTAATGTTAATTGTTCAAGTCAACTGACATAAGACACATGCATGTCAACTTGAATAGAGATAATTCAATGTGAAAAGATGAAGAATAATAAAAGACAACTGAAGATTGGAGTTATCATAAAAGAAGATTAACAGCCCTGAATGTGAAAAATTAAAATACATGGGAAGGGGCAACTGTTCACTAATCCCAAAGAGGGCATTATTGATAGCATGAGAGGAGAGATATCCCTTAACACTAGATGGAAATCATTCAGCAATCTAAAAAAAGAAAAAAAAAACAAAAAAACAAACCGGAATTTTATAAACACTCTAAAAAATGATGAGAATTAAGCCAATTAGCAAAGATGGTGAGAACTATTCAACCACATGAAAAAGAAGAACAAAAGGAATTACTTATTAAATCCTAATGAACGGAAAGATAACCATTAATATTACCTAATTCCCACTATATTTTTATTGCAAACGCCAACCCATTTTCACAAACAACCAGTGACTATAATCATAATTTATCATTAAATAAGGACTTGTGTGCTCATATGTATCCTCACGAAAGAGCATGGGAGATTCAGGGGAACGGTCTTTCAATCTCGAGCGAGTCATTCACCATAACAGCATACAACGAAGGATTTGAGACACAGGATTTATCCATCCATGACAGATATTCAACATAACATGTACCAAGATCATGCTAGAAAGAAAAACAAGGCGAGATGGGGAAGGCAGTGTGTTCGGATACCCCAAATAGACAGAGAATATGAGACAAACAGAATAAAGTTCAGGACAAGCGATGAGGATCCATGTTACCTTGTCTGAAGTATAGCCTAAGAATGGAGAGATCAGCTGCTTCGTATGGAGGATTGGTGCTTCAGAATCTTTCCCTTCAGCTAAAATGGGGGAGATGACCTGTATTTCGGTAGCTCCTTCTAGCTTTGCAGGACAGTTGATGGACCGATGAAGAGTTCGCCGAAGTAGACCCAGTCCGGTGGCAAAGCAAGGGGTTGGAGAAACGTTGGGTGGTCGAGAATATGAAGAAAAACGAGAGGGATTTTCCTGACAGTCCAAGGCTATGGCGAACAGGGGAATCAGGAGTGGTTTAGTGAGAAAGAGAAGGGGGGAGAGATAGAGAGAGAGAGAGGAGAGCGAAAGAAATGTATGGGGGAGAGAATAGCGCCGCTGCCGGAAGTTGCAGCGGTGGCGGTAAAGAAAAAAAAAGAAACAGGGGGAGCTGCCGCTGCTAAAAGTTGCGGCAGCGGTGGTCAGAATGAAGAGAAGCAGAAGAAGAAGGTGATGGACGAAAGATCGGAGGAGAGCGAGATTGACAGATTGAACCGCCGCCCTAGAGTTGCAGCGGCGGTGGCGGTGAAGAAAAAAAAAATAGGGGATGGGGAGGGCGTTCGAATGGCCAAAAGAACGAAAAAGAAAATGAAGGAGGTGCTTGGCTATAGAAAAACGAAAAACAAGATGAAAACCTCGAATGGAAGAGCTTGGCCCCCTTTACCGCCGTTGCCGAGTCTCTATCGCCGTTGCCGCTGCCGCTGGGTCGAGAGAGAACGAAGATGAACGGTATATGGGAAAACTTTGTTTTAAACGTTTTAGGGCATATAAGGGTATTTTCATCAGTTTAGAGAAATTTGGGGTAATTTGATAATTTTGAGAATTTCGGCGATAGTTCGGGTTTAAGAGTGATCAAAATTAGACCTGTAAAGGGCCGGGCCGGAGTGGGCTTTTATTCTTAATTAACAGATTTTTTTAAGGCTCGAGTCAGAACCCGGCTCTCATAAAAAGCCTGAAACCTGAGCCTGGGTCCGAGCCCAAAGTCTAAAGTTTATGTTGCTGCTATCGCTGAAGCAGCTAGACAGAGAGAGAAATTATAAAAAAAAATAAAAATTGTATATATTAAATTATTAATATATATTATAATAAATATCATATATTTTATATTATATAAATTAGACGGGTCAGGCCAGGCTTGAGCTAGGCTTTTTTGACAAATCCTGAGCCCGGCCCGAAACACAGTCGGGCTTGGTGTTTTGGGCCTGAGATCAAGCTAACGGGCCTAACTACATGTCCAAGCCCGACTGGGGTGCAGATCAGGCTACCTAGCCCATGAACATATCTAATCAAAACCAAGATTTTGAATATTGGGTTAGAATTTTTGGTTGAAGAGTGTGGGGGTTATGTGTAAGCGGTTTTGTGTGTATGGGTCAATGAAGTTGGCCTAAATGGAATCTTTTTAATTGAATGAGTAACATGATAATTAATAAAGTATTGTTTTGAGGTGGGGTAAAATTAGCCTAACTTGGTCTAAATCAAGCAAATTTAGTAGAGGCTTAATTTGGACAATAAAAAGCCTCAAAATAAAATCTTTGTGTGATAAAAGGGTAAACAAGAAATTTGAAACAAGAATTTGTGGGTATGGGTTTTAGGATGCATGGGATCTGATGGTAGTGTCTGATTTAGAGTTCAAAATCATGAAAATCTAGGTCAGGGGAATTTAGGTCAATGAGAGAGAGTGTCCAGAATTTAATCTTGGTCTGATGGAGTTTAGGTAAATAGGAGAATGTTGAGTAAAAATTTTAGGGCAAATTTATTAAACTACCCCTACTATTTTGTTAATTGAATTTTAGGGCAAATTCAATCACATGCAGCAACATATGACTGTTATATTTTGAAAAAAAACGGCAATAATACCCTTTCCATATGGAGAACGAGAAACAAGAATTGAATCTTTGCAATCTACCGTAGTCTGCTGACTCTTGATGAGAAAGATCTCCACTATTTGCAACCTACTACAGCCAGACTCTTTGACGAGGAAGATCTCTACGGTGGGAGGAAAAACAGGGGAGGTAAGCTACATGTTTAAAGAAGAATGGGAAAAACAGGGGAGGTGAGCTATATGTTGAAGAAGAGTGGGAAAGAGAGGGGTCCAGTGAGGGAGGTTCTATCCAAATTGTCGTTGCAATGACGATGATAGGGGCAGAAAAATGATTTAGATCAACAAGTGTATGGATGCCACCGGCGCAGCTATTGGAGGGCTTTGATGGTTTCTTGTCCCGGAAAGACATGGATACCCTTGATTGAAAATCAATGGGAACCGACGGCGAGGGAGAGGGAGATCTCCAAAAAATCCTTGATTGAATCTGTGCGGTCGAGAGACAGGGTTGAATCGGTGGAAGCTAACAGCAACAACCTTGTCACGGGGGACAGGGTTCTTACTGCAACTCCACCGTCCACTAGCTTCGGTTTGATATTTTTACAAATTTTTTTTTGTCACTGGAAAATCCAAAAGATCAAGAGAGATGGAGTATGAATCGATGGGAGATTCTATTTGCTCCGATGCACGATCGAGAGAGATGGAGTTTGAATCGGTGGTGGGTTCTATCTACTTCGACGTATGGCAGACAGGGTTCTTCCTGCAACTTACTACAACGTTTGAAGCATTCAGAAGGCATTCGAGGGGGTTCTTATTTCTCCGATGCTCGAAAAATTCGGGAGGCATTTGAGGGGGTTCTTACTAAAACTTAATGCTCTAACTCTCGAAGCATTCGGGAGGCATTCGAGGGGGTTCTATTTGTTGGTTTTGTTGAAGTTGAAGTTCTGGTTTACAGCGCATTCCAGCCCAATTCAATGGCACCCATCAACTTCACCGATATCCCCATCAAATAATTTGAGAAATCCCTCGTCGTCTGTACCGTTGGCTCTTTTCACTGCGCTCAACAGAAAATTGTCCTAGCATAAAATATTTGTCCTGGATTTTGATTTCTTTTTATGATTTTCTTTCTGGGATTTGCAACTGTGTGAAGGTTATGCCGGGCATGATTCTATCCTCTTCAGTAGCAGCTCTGCTTTTTTTTTTTTCCTCTGTCTCTGCATGTGGAAGATCTCTAACGAGAAACCTTCCATATTCTTCACAGTTTTAACAGGAGAATTGTTGAGTAAATTTGACATTTTGCTTTTTTTTTTCAAAATTTAATGATGACAATTGTTAGAAAACTTGAAGGTACTTTAAGACAATAATTAAACTCGAAGGTATAGTTTGTCAATTAACTAAACAGTAAGGGTAGTTTAAGAAAATTTCCCAAAATTTTATTGCTATATGTTTTGGTATGTGTGGAGTTCAACGGTATTGCCCATTTGGTTCAAACTCCAGAGCTTTTAGGAGGATCTAAGGTTATGGATGTTTAAGCGACAACGGGGTTCAAAATAGAATCTTGGTTTGATAAAGGGTATATGGTGAAATTTTAAATTGAAAATTTTTGGATACGTATTTTGAAATGTCCTGGGTCTCATGGTATTTTATAAAAATCAATATTTTATAAACTAATGATCAAATCCACATTTATATCAAAAGATGATTTTTACTCTCAAAAGATACAAATAAAACAATTAATAATAAAATAATTATTTTAGTACTTAAAATTTATAAATTTGGACATGATATCTATCTTAAAAATTTTATAAATTATTAATTGATATTTTAATTTACATTTTACAATAATATATTTATTGTTTACAAAAATAAAAGTATTATTTACCAAACATCCGAGAATTAAATTTTATATTGATATTCTAATAGTTGCATGCATTTTTTTCCCTAGACTTTAATATAAAATAAAAGGGGGAGTTTCTTAAACTACCCCTATGGTTTAAGAAATTGACTAACTCTATGCTTACTATTTATATATTGTCTTAAACCACCCTTTAGTCTTTTGACAATTGTCTAAAATCTCCCTTACTATTAGTTTTTCGTCAAACACAATTGACATATGACAACGTGTGACTAATATATTTTACTAGAATTCCTAAACTACCCTTTTGTCGTTGAAAATTCCCTTTTCAGTTTGGGCTCATCTTAGACTGGACTATATTTCTTGTAAGGCACTGGTCGGTTTAGTGTTTGGTAGTCAACGACATCATTATGAAAGGACGGTGAACCTCAACTATTGTTTGTGATCATCGGCACCAACGTCAGTCTTCATTTGTAGAGATTGGTCACCTAAAACGAGGTGGGTGAAGGAGGCTAGTGAGATCAGTCAACTAACTGTTATTACGGTTATCTCACAAAAAACGTGAAGAGGAAGGAGGTTGGAAGGCCCTGTTAATCAACTATTAGTGTGGTTTGTGGTTTTCTCACACAAAGGAGGTTGAAGTGCTTCCTTCTTTACTTACAGAAAGGAGGTATAGTTTGTGGTTTTCTCATACAAAGGAGGTCGAAGAGCTTCCTCCTTGATGTCAAATAGGGTTGTTCATAAGAAGGCCCAACCCGACCAAATCAACCAATTCGGACCGACCCAACTCGAGTCGGCCGAGTTTTCATCAGTACGGGTCGGTTTCGGGTTGTGCAAATTCCTAAATTGATGATTCGGGTCAGTTTCGATTTTCACATAAAAAAACCGAAACCAACCTGAACTGAACCGACTTAGTTCCTAGTTCAAATATGAAGTTCCAAAGCCCATTAGGCCACCTAGTTTTTGAATGGTTGCAAAAAACTTTGTATTAGTGAATAGTGATTAATGAACATCTTTTGTGATTAACTTTTCATTTAAATTTTATCATAGGAGATGGCTGAAATGATGTTCAATTTATGACTGTTTTTAAAATTAGCAAGATTTTATCACAGGGATGAACTTAGAACCGAAATCGACCCAAACCGACCCAACCCGACTCAAACCGACTAGGTTGGTTTTGCTTAACACTTCGGTTTCGGTTTCTATGTCAGATAACCCGACCAGGTCAGGTCGGTTGGAAAAACTACGGTAAACCGACCCATGAACAGCCCTAATGTCAAACAGATGCAAACATTGACTAGTATATGTTTGACCAAATACCTCACAATCCTCCCCATCGAATGCACAGTGTGCCTCGCCCACCATGCCGCATGCACAACCTGCCCCCCTCCCGCACACCCAATCCGTTCACCCACCCGCCCTAGCACATACATCCCTCCCAGCTTGCAGCCCACCCACCACCCAATGACATTGCACTGCGCCCATTATGAACGCATACATGTATATGTATGATTATACTTGATGGAATGTGTTAATGAATATTTTTTTATTCTAGGAACCATTTGAATTTTCTTGAACCGACAGTATGAAGGTTTTACGCCCGTGTAGTGGTGGAAAGTGCATCACAGTTGTGGTTAGGTGTGGAAAGGCCGAGAATGTTGGCCAGGAGTTTTATGGATGTCACTATTAATAGTAAATTATATGTTATGTACAAATTATATGTTACCTAGTCTATCTATGTTCATTGTAGTTCATCCCTGATAGAAGATGTAAGGATGAAGCAAGGATGTGTCCGTATGGTATTGGGATCTATAGTCTTCACACCTATATGGTCTAGCACACAAAAGAAACGTTTTTGGGTTTGCGCAAAGCCTCAACTAAGAAAAAAATTGTTAATTGACTTGTGTCAATCATCAAATCTAAATCCCACTTTATTTTTATAGGGTGCATGTAAGTTTAAATTCTTCTCATGGACACCTCTAATGGAGAATGTCCAACAAAGCATAGGGAATGTAACCATGAAAAGAGATGGGTCAAGGTCGTCTAAACGCAATGAAAGGTCATCTAGAG